TTGGCACCGAACACAAGCTACTCGGAAGTCTGTTAACACAATTTCACAAGCTGATTAGATGTAACAGAGAACTAAAGTCAGGGATCTCATAGTGGCCGTTAGTAGACTATTATTTCAAAACAACAACAACTAGGCTACTACAATAACGAAAATATTACATTTTTTTTGTGACACTACATTTGTGTAGGCTACATGTACTGTTAATGTTGTTACTACGGCACCCTAATGAATTATAAGAAAATTATGTGTAACTTGGACATTAGCATTGCTTTTATTATTATTAATAATCATAATTTTCTCAATAGTATTTTTATTGTTACTGCTACCTGGGATGTGCAGGGGCCTGTTGGAGTGAATGTTCCCGGGACTGATGGGGCTCCCGGCTGAAGCGCGCTCCATGAGCAGCCCGTGATCCGCCCGGCAGAGCAGCTCCTCATCCCGCAGAGAGAACTCATCTCCCGGGAGCAAATGTCTGCTGCACACCGAGCACCTGAAACACTCCATGTGATACACGTTATCCCGGGCCCTCATCACCAGGTCACTGCTGCAGAAACCGATGTTGCATTTGGCGCATTTGATCCCGAATAATCTGCAAATTCCAGAAGAAACATTTGCTTATTTTTACTGTTCGTTTCCCAAACCGTCCAACTCATCTCAGCTCGATTTTACAAGGCCAAGAAATACGGATCGTAATCACAATTGTAACTCTTTTCTTAAAGCATGTATATAATTAATTATAAGTGTTATAGTCTACAATAGCTACACACAATACAATGCATTTATCCTTTCATGAATAATTGCAAGCAGTTACTTTACGCATAGCCGCAGAGTGAACAGTATAACACATTCAAACACTGTGTTTGACTGTTTCAATGCATTATTCTTTACAAATATGCTACCTAATAGAGTATTATAACTGAGGTTTAATATATTTACGAGAGCATATATACTGAGATAATAAGGTGTGTAAGACACAATGATCACAATGCTTAATAGCTTATATTTCTTTACAAAGCAAACTTCAAAACAATACGGAACAAACACAGGTATTAAAAAAAATCAAGCATGGCAAGGCTAAACCAAACATGTCTGTGTTAGCCTAATCACACTCAAGCCATGAAATATTGGAATTTTGTTGACAAATAATTAGTTTCCACTAAATAGGCTATCTTAGTGTTTTGTATGCTTTACTATATTGTATTATAGCCTATACCTACTGTATAATATAGCCTTTTATTTTTTACCTCTGCAACAAAGGTTGTTTAAAATACTCTTCTTTAGTTTATGATAAAACTGCAGTAACAGCATGCAGAGTTTTTTTTTTTTCATATCTCTATATCGGTTTGGGTCAAGAATCTGTGAAAAAGAGGGCCTCGACGAAATTCCAAAGCTGTGAAATCACAAATATATGAGTGACTCGTACCGTACGTAATCTCTCTTGCAATAAGTCTTGCCGTCCCGCACGAAGCAAGTGCACGTCTCATCCAGGTACTGACTGCATTCTGCGCACTTCAGACAGGCTGCGTGCCACTCCAGGTCCGGGGACACTCGCAGGATGTACTGATCATGGATCTGACTTCCACAGCCTACACACATGGCGATTCCAGACTTCTCTGGATATGGAGAGCAAGGATTAGCTAGTGTCCTCCGACTGCGCCCCTTTATAGGCTGTTTAATCCCCCCAAAACACCGCCGTCGTGCAAATATGCAAGATTATTGCTCATGCATCCTCTTTTGACATGCCACTAGCCCACAAAATGTCGTTACTTTTCCTGTTTCATTTCATTATATTGGTTCGTTTTTTGGCTGCACCAATAGGCTACTGATTGCAGATAAGTCATGCTTAGCACAAAAAATAATAACATAGGCTAGTCGACATAAAATTATATTTTGATAGCCTATAGTAGCCTAGTCTACTGGGAGAAAAAATAAGTTCTTATTGTCTCGTTGTAATGTTAAACTAATTTTGCATTAACGATATTCAAAGTTCTTGTGTAATGACGAACAAATTGAGCTAAAACAAACACCCGGCACTTACTTTTTGAATGATCCCCCATATCACCCAAGAAAGAAGGATGGGGTAGAATATCCACCATACAGGAGGGTTAAGGCAGAAGGCGTACAGATGAGGAAATGGAATGGGAAACTGCCTCGTCCCGAGCTGACTAATAACTTCTGGACGAAGAGCCTGTGGGAAGAGCAACACACAGACACTGGCTCTGACGTCACCGGGGCCCTGACGTCACATGCAAACCTGGACCACGCGCGCCCCCGAATATCAGCAACAGCCCGAGGAGGAGATCCGACCACGAGAAATGTTTTGAATATTGTCTATACCGAGGAATGGAAGATTAAACTCACACTTCTGTTTCTCCAAACATAACTGGGAAACAGTTGCAACGGTGAACAAAACACACAAGAGAAGTAGGCTAGCTGGAAATTCCTTAAATAGGGAGTATGTTTTAAGTTAGCCTACATTTTAGTCCCAGTATTGCATTTAGGTGTTCAATGAGAAGCTGGACCAACGCATGAATGTTAAGTATGCAGTGACATTATTATCTGCGGGTTTAAACTGCATTTGAAATACTGACATAATCAAAACAAAACTAGAATGAGGTTTTAAAAAAATATTAATTTATTTTCAAAATATTCCGCAAGCTTTCTTAAAACAAAATAAACATTTAGCATATAGGCTACATTCGTTTCGTTGCTTTAAAAAATTTCCGTAGGGGAAATCCATGTGAATTTAAGTCCATGTGTGTTACAGTGAGCCCCCTACTGGACATCAGAATATCTTCACATATGCCTATCACATGGTTTCATATTTGTAATAAAGTTCATAATCCGTATTTGCCAGTCTTACGAAATGTAGCCTAGAATTTCGGTAGAAAATAACTGACTATAAATATGAAGTAAATTCAACAGAAATATTTAGACGACTTAGAGTAGCCTAAAAATTTCGAGAGGATTTTTTTTTTTTTTTTTTAGTTTGACTGCGAATGTTACGTGTTTTCAAAACCGATTAATCTATTTAGGCTTCTTTGTGCGTTTCCATTGAAAATTATCATCATAAAATTGTCCAGCATGGACCTGCATTCTTCGGTTAGATTTAATCTCTCTATTGAATCTGCTTAGTTCTAAATGTCAGAAAGAAGAGACTCACAACACAAGTTTGCTTAGAACGGATATTTTTAGATTGAACGACACACACCTTCCTTGCATTAAACTGCATTTTATTGTGAATAATTCGCTGACATTTCCAGCTGGTAAAAATGTCAGCGAATGAACATTTGAAATGAACGTTCAACTGCTGCCTTAAAAGATTGATTGAACTCAGTTTGAAGATAACTATTGTTTCATCTCACAAATAGTCAAGAGTCAAGACAATGGATTACTTTTATTTTTACTTTTACTTTTGAGTTCAAAATCCACTCTTGTCACGACATTTGAATTTAAGGAGAATAAATAAGTTTACATAACTTAATTGGGCTGTCGTGTTTTAGCGTTCATGCTTCTCTCTAAATTAAACTCAGCTGGTTTATTCTGTCCATTTTTTGTCATATTTATACTTAAATATAGCTGGAGGAAAAGTCCATAGCTATTGGCTTTTTTAAAATGCGACCATATGAATAATTTCGTTTATTTCACTCTGAAAATGATTCGGACAAGAATCATGTTTAAGTCGTGTTGTGTGAATCAGAGTGACCGCGTGTCGAACCTCACCTTTGACTTTGACCTCTAACCCCGCAAAGAAACACAATTAATTTAGACTACTAAGAAACCATGTTGACTCCATGAGGAGGTCAAAAAGAGACATCTAGGAGATTGCATGTCGCCTATAGCCTATACTTTTTACGTTTTATTGGTTTTAATCAGTTGACAACCATTTGTCGGCGATTTTAAATTCAATGCAAACGGATTGAATGAATCAGATGGAACAAATACTACCGCGGAAAAAATAGCCAGAATACAATAGCTAATAGCCTAACTTTAATTTGAAAATAAAATCCATGTACACACATAATGAATTTATCATTTTATTATATATTATATTATATGTCATTTAATATTTTTAATTTAATTGAACATAGTCTATCTTGAATATATTCTTTTAATAACCATGCAAAAAGTAATAGATCACGATTTCTTTCCCTTTTGTCTTGACCATATTTTGCACGTGAACACAACCCAAAGCATCAAATCCAAACATATCAAATCAGTAAAATTACATAAAATTACTAAATAAAACAAAACAAACAAACAAACAAAAACAAACAAACAAAAACAAACAAACAAAAAACAAACAAACAAAAAGACAAACAGGGAATATTAATAAAAATCATACTTGTAGAGCACTGTAAAAAGCTTAGTCACAGTAAAAAAATTATATGATCAATAAGTTATGACAACATATGTTTTTACATTGCTTTAACTCAAAATATGTTAAGCAATTTTTAACTTTATTTTTAGTTAGATTCAACTCATGTTTTAAGCCAGTTTAATGTAGTTTAAGTTGAAATGACTTAAACATCCAAGTTGATTGTAGCTTAATTTAACTTAGGCTAATTTAAGGCAATTTTTTACAGTGTCCATACCAAAATGTTGCATTCTACTTAATACAGAATATGTGCTGTTGGTACAGCTGATTATGCCACAAAATTATGAATTAAGTCATAAAAAATCTAACCCTTGGTTCAGTGGACCCTGTTACATTTACAGTCACCGTGGGAAACTAACTTTTCTTGAACTAAAAAGCTCCACAGATTCTCAAAGCTATGAAACACCGCCCCCTAGGCTAATTACGTATCCACTCAGGCTCCGCCCACTTTGCTATTAGACAATTATATTAGTTATTCCCATATATAGGCCTATACATAAGAAGAGTACCTATACTGAAGAATATCACCTCCAAGAAAACCACATTTGAGCTGTTACAAATGTTACAAAATGTAAAATAAAATGTTACAAAATGACTTTTACATAAGAGGGGCGTGTCTCTTCTGATCTCGCGAGAACTCAACCCAACCTCTATCCCCTGTTACTAAAGCAGTGGCAGTGTGGATGCTGATAGTTTGCTGCTGTAATCATGCTCAAAGCTGTCAACAAGACCTATCTCAGGCAGTTGGTAAGAAAACCCCGTCGAAACGACATATTAACCAGTGCGCACTTTCTGTTAAAGTTGTTATTCGTTCACTGTCCTTTCTAGACACAAAAAGACCCGAATAAAAAGCTTAGCATGCTGGCTAACTCGCTCATTTAGTTCAGCAGGAGTTGTGTAATATCTTACTAAACTGCTATTCTTTTCTATATACGCTTGTTTTAGTGTATTGTTTTTGATATGTGATGGTTAAAACGCAATGTCAAATGTTCGGTTAACTTTGCTGACCTATTTTTTCATAGTTATACAGCCTGCTAACTAAGCGTTTACGTTAACTTTAACACATTCTCGTAGTGTTACTGTTTTTTAATAGCTTTAGTCAGAAATATTGATATTTGAATATGTTCATGACACCTTTAAGGCATTGGTAACATCAATATGATTAGTTAATAAACAGAGCTAGCTAACTATCTGTCAAGGTTATGCAACATGTAAACAGTGCATTATGAAACCTCCTCACTGTCTTAAACTGATTGACCTACAATGCATTTAAAATATGACCTACATTGAATTTGAACTGTTAATATATTAGGCCAGACCCTAAGTAGTATCAGATCCCTGTTATAAATCAGATTTCTAATGACCTCTATGGGCTATAAAACAGTGTTTGGCTGCACTGCCCCAGTCTGCATTCAATAGAAGTAACCTTGTGTCGGTTATTTGGGTGAAAGAGCCTGGCAGTTATTTATATCATACTGTATCAGAATGACCAAATGGGTTTTTTCTTCTTTCCAGTCTGGTTTGATTCAGAGGTTTCAGAGTACTCTGGTTGTTGCCGAGCACAATAATGACACGCTGACCCCCATCACCCTGAACGCCATCACCGCTGCTAATAAACTCGGCAGTGACGTGTCCTGTTTGGTTGCTGGAACGAACTGTGCGAAGGTATTCTCTCTTCATTTCCATTAATTTCTGTGTAGCAAGTCGAAAGCCTGATTTCAGGGCTCTGATTATGGGTTTTTGGACAGGTTGCAGAGCAGTTGTCCAGAGTTCAAGGGGTGAAGAAAATTCTGATAGCTCAACATGCAGCCTACAAAGGGTCATTGCCAGGTAAACTCGAGGATGTGTTAATTAATTTGGAAGTATTTGGTTGTTGTGTAAATTAAGTAAAGAACTGTGCAAGTGGCTTTGGATAAAAGAGTCTATCATATTGAAGAAAGCATGGTATTGAGTGATTTAAATGAAAAACTAAATTCTGCCTCCTTTCACAGAGGAGCTGACACCCCTCATCTTGGCAACTCAGAAACAGTTCAGTTTCACACACATCTGTGCGGGAGCTTCTGCTTTCGGAAAGGTAAATCTAAGACAGACGATAAGGGCTGAAGGGAGATTTCAGAGATTTGATTGTCTTTATCATTGAGCCATTATATGTCTTTTACACACTGTGGGAAAAACAACACCATTGTTACTTTTTATTTTGATGAAAAACATTGGTCAGATTGAACAAAATTCATGCATTTTTTGTATTGTATTGATGACAAACGTTTATCAGCTTGAACAAAATTGACATTTTTATCTTTAAATAAATAAATAAATGATGACAAACCTTTATTAGAACAAACAAAATTATAAAAAATTATTTGAAGACAAACTTATTAGATTGTACAAATTTGATGTCCATTTTTCAGGGATGTGATTTTTCTGTGTTTTCAGTCCTGAAAAGTATGACCCATGTGAATTGCGTAAATGTTTTTTGGGAGGGATGCTGGTTACTGAATGATGATTGAAATCATGAAATAGTAAAATTCAAATTAAACATTTTATCTTTAGTAATTTCGTTATGTGCTTTTGTCGTTTCATTAGTTTTATTGCTATTTCGGTTATTTATTTCCAGTTAATATTTTTAGTACTTTTTAAAAATAACTTTAGTTTATTGCCAAGGCTACATTTCAAATTTTAATTTCACTATTTATTTATTTATTTTAATTTCAGCTTTTTTTTTAATTAACAGAAATATTTTTGATAGTGTTAGTTAATGATAAAAACCCTGTGTAACACTGTATAAAGTCCATCATCAAATAAACAAAACCTATCAAGACAAAAATCAGCTAAATACAAAAAAGGAAAACCTGACCACGCCCCCAACCCCGCAAATATTATTTAAAAAAATTCTATCAAATTAAAAAAGATATATCTGATATTGCAATAATACATACTATTGTACTGTAAAATTAAGAAATCGAGTGTTTAATAATCATGATAATAATGTATTAAAATACAATATATGTTATAATAAAAGTATTCATAGAATTGTTGTTTATTATGATTATTATTATTAATAACAAAGTTAATAATTATTATTATTATTGGTTTCATTTTACTATACAAAACAGTAAAATTACAATACTACATTTTTTTTTCAAACGTTAAACCATTGAGCTTTCATTTTGGAGGGAAACCGCAGAGAGACCTTATTGCTTCTCTTTGTTGACAACAACAGATTTCTAAACGATTCTCATGACAAATGTTGCGTTCCCAAATGCACATAAGTGACTCAAACACAGCACTTGCAGAGAAGCGTTCACTGTGAATGGAAACTGAAAACGAACACAGTACAGTGCTGGGCTTTACTCTGGAACATGCAGCGCATCAGACCATACATATAATTACTATACATCACAAACTTTTTTTCAAAACGCACAATTTCTGTACAGTTTTGCCTTGTTTTGTTCTTTTACATTTGCTGACAAACACTTTTTTGTAATAATGCAAAAAATACACCGATTTTTGCCTTGATTCTTTTTTTATTTTTCCATGTGATTGCATCGGTGATAAGTGAAGATGTTTTACTTAATGCAGGATTTTGTAGTTCCACTCATTTCGAAGTTATTTGATTATTTCCCAGAGCGAAAAGCACAAATGGGAAATGGATTAGAAACTCTCATACCACCAAGCCCCTATCAGGCTTCTTACTTTTGGAGTTGTGGGAGAAGTCCGTCCTCAATAAGTGCGGCTCTATTATATGCAAGGTTATTTGTCATTCCACAGCCAAACTGTCAGGCAGCAGATCTAATGGTATTTAAATTGAATTGTAATACATTAAACAGTATCTTATGTAGCCTAACCCCAGACCAAAGAGATGTATTAGTCTCAATTTCCTCACTGGCTAAACGTATTTTATTTGATGGATTCTTAAGTGGTGGATTTGGTTTCATTATGTCACTATATAAAACACTTGAATTACCACTATGCAATATTTTTCACCTCTAGACATAACTTGGAGCTCTTTTTCAGACTGCACGATATTTATTCCGTCTGCGATGCAGGAAGGCCAAAGTTTTCAGACATGGGTTTTGATCAATGCCTGCCGAAATAATGCTATTTCCAAACAAATCAAATTTGACCACATCTGCAGATATTAAGGATGTGCATGTTTTAATGGCTTGAACTTATTCAGGAGCTTCAAATGCATCCGATTGTCTTTAATAATGCTGAGTGTATATCTTTATTTGTAGAATCTCCTTCCAAGAGTGGCCGCCAAGTTGGATGTGGCTCCCATTTCAGATATCATTGAGATCAAATCTGCAGACACCTTTGTGAGGACCATTTATGCTGGTAAACACACAAGCGAATACACCAGTAGCACTTCCAGATGTACTAGTCAAGAAATGCTTTCAAATAACCTTCTTAGTATGTTCCATATCTTTCTCTTTGTTTAACATGGAGTTTGTGATTTAGGAGTCTGGCCATTGGTTGGCTGCGTGAACGGAGACGCACAGTGATTTACACTGGCTTGAAACAAAGCGTATATTTTCTTCTTCTTTTTTTTTTTTATCTAAGGGGGACCCCGGAGCCTTTTTGTTCCGCTTTGCATGTATTATTTCTCTGTTCACTGTTTCTCATCCATAAACTCTACTGCCATAAATACTTCCCAATTACTCCGGCCACTTTATCTTTGGCAAGCACAGAACACTTGAAATTTATGAGACTTTATTTTATTTTAAGTCACATTAATGGTTTTCGTGGAAAACATCAAATGAAAAGTGTTTTTTTTGCCACTTGTGGTGATCATTTATGTCCAAGGTTTTCAACTGGGGGATCCATATGAAGGTTCTCCAGGGACTTTTACTTGAATTATCCTAAATGTATTTGAATGAACATTTGATGGTCTTTTTTTATTATATAATGTAGTAATGTGTGTTAATGTCCTTAATACAAATTATTATATAGTGAAATCTTGATTCTCTATACAAAAAAAAAAAAAAAAAACTAGCCTTTTTTATACTAGGAGTACACTATATTATTTCAGTTTTATGTCATTATGTTTCATATATATAGATATATATCATACATTAATTTAATTAGCTATTGAAAATTATGAACAGATTTAACGCACCCGCCCCAGACCTACATAGTTCATCTTATATTTTATACAGTTGATTGGTGACGAAAATGAAGCAGAGCAACGACTCACTGCTGGATGGACCCTATAGAATGCAGTTAGAATGACCCTAAAATAAAAAAAAATCAGGGCAAAAATTGTCCTGTATGAGTTTTTGTCTTATATGATATTTATATCATATGATATAGATATAATATCACACATATGATATAATCATATGATTTAATATCACACGGGTAATGAGCGTAATATCACACGAGTGCTGTTTTAGTCCCGAATAGCATGAGTGCAAATGTGTTATTGATTTTATACATAAGTTAAATAAAGTTAATATCGTGTTCTATTTTAGATACAATTTGTGTTTTTTCTCAATTTTGCCAATGAAAATATTACCTGTAAAATTATCCACAGCTGAACTGTTGTGCTTCTCCGAGCAACACACAGCGGTGTTTAATTTCTCGATGAATCCGCGTTTTGAATGAATCGGGTGAACCAATGATTCAATGGCCCATTCATAAAGAGAGCCATTTACTTCCTGAATGAATCAGCTGTTTGAACAAATCAAATGAATTAATGAATGACAGTGTGACAAATGGAGTATGTCAGAATTCCCAGTACTCATAAAAGAGTAGGAAAAAGTACCTGGATGACCTACTACTTCTGGTGAGATTCTGAAGTGCGCATACGATGGACACTTTACTGTCCCATGAGGCAACGGGAGAGGATTTATGAATGGCAGTGAAGTGACGCAACTGACGCTAGTCGGTCACATGATAATGACTACATGGTGACTGTATGTCCAGATTAAATTCATACTATATAGAACATAATTTTTTTATTTAGCTGTCGTGATGCAATTACTTGTACTCTCTTGAGTAGGAACTTATTTTGAATGTGATTTCGGACGCAGCCAATAACTTACTCATTCAGACATTTACCGCCACCTACTGCCAGTTTCAGTTTATTTGATCATTTCATTTAAAAATCATATTTCAATATTAATAAAAATAAAAACCATTAAAGGTATAGTTCACCCAAAAATGAAAATTCTGTCATAATTTACTCACCCTTTGTCACCATTTCAAACCTGTGTGACTTTATTTCTTTCATGGAGCATAGAAGATATTTTGAAGAATGTTGGTAACCCAACTATTTTGGTTTACTTTCATTGAATGAAAAAAGTACTGAGACATTTCTCAAATTATCTTCTTTTATGTTCCACAGAAGAAAGTAAGTCATACAGGTTTGAAACAACACAAGGGTGAGTAAATTATGACAGAATTAATTTTTGGGTAAACTATCCCTTTAATACCCATTCATCTCATGGCATTATTTATGCAATTGTAATTGCTGTTTAAATGCATTCATGCCACCTCTGAGCTCCAATAAATAAGCAGCTGTAAATGTATCTAAATACCAATTCAGGAAAAAAAAATCATGGCAGATGTAGCCTAAAAGTTTGTCTAATAAATTCTATGTTGAATCAAATCAAATATTTATTTCTAAAGCTACTGTTTCTAATGTCTATTTGATGCTTTTCTCATTTAACACAATAATGACTTGAAATGATTTTTGGGGGGTAATTTTGCAGCCAAATTTGATGTGTAATTAATTCAATTAAACTTTTTAATTGCCTGACAAAAAAAAAACTAAAAACATATGTGTGTAATTTCTTGTGATTTCATCTCTTTTCCCCTGTTTTCTGGCCATAGGAAATGCCCTCAGCACAGTCAAGTGCAATGAAAGCGTCAAGATCTTCACGGTTCGAGGCACTTCCTTTGAACCTGCGGCCATAGAGGGGGGCAGCGCCTCTTCAGAGGAAGGTACTCAGTCGTTTGATAAAGTTAAACACACTGCTGTTTGTTCATGTTTTTCTTTAAGGTCACGCTGACTTTGATACCACACACAAAGGTTTATAGTATTTAGTGTTGTATATAATCCTCCACTCCGCTGCAAGGTTTTGATGGCCTAGTTTGTTTAAACGTTGACTTTAAAGGGATCATAAAGGGGTATTTTGGAACAACTCTGCATGTTTATTTGGACGGCTCCTCACGAGATGTTGTTGCTTTTGCAGTCTCTTCGTCTGCCGCTGCTGGAGTCTCTGAGTGGCTGGAACAAACTCTAACTAAGAGTGACCGTCCAGATCTCGCCAGTGCTAAAGTCGTGGTGTCTGGAGGTAAGAACTTTGTACAAGAACCGCAATTGTTCACTGGACATTACAGGAAATCGGTCCAAATGCAGCTTCAGCTATACATGATATAACGGCATTATAATATGACACCCACAGAGGCACTTGTTAACCATTTGATGTGTCAAGAACTGTATCTTCTGGCAGAGTCACTAACATCTGATTCTTGTAAGGCAAGGTTTTATCATTTAACAACAAACAGTTTTTTAAAAGCAATTAGGCACAAACTCATACTTTATTGCTTAATAAAAAAAAAAAATAAAACAACATCCATAAATCACAATAAACTAAAACCGCTTCCCACAGGGACTACATCATATTTGTGCTTACATTCATTGTTTGTTTGAACTGTATACAAATTTAATCTTATTATTTAATTTAATTTAATCAAATATTAAGTATATAGATTTTATTTAATTGTTATTATATTGTTTGAAGAAGTTTCATTGTATATTTATTAAAATTGTAGCTTTGATGCTATGCAAATAAATAAATACAACAAAATAAATTTATAAATCTAAAAATGATACCATGTGCTTTTACGTTTTAATGAAAACATGTTCCTTTTTTATTGTATTTATTATTCTAATATTTTATTATAGATGAGCAGTTTTATGAAACGCAATACGGCACAAACTCTCATACTTTATTGCTAAATCAAAGAAAAATAACATCAATAAATTACAATAAACTAAAACCGCTTCCCACCGGGACTACATCATCTTTGTGTTTATGTTCATTGTGTCATAATGTTGGGTATTCCCTTGAAATTTCTCTAGGCTATTTTTTTTGCTCAGAAAATCAATAGTAAACTGAGACTGTATCGATCCTCCTGGACTCATAACCTTGTCAGTAATTTCATATTTCATGCCCATCTGCCGTCTCTTTGTCATAACAGGGAGGGGCTTGAAGAGCGGCGACAACTTCAAACTGCTCTACGACCTCGCCGACCAGCTGAACGCAGCCGGTGCGGTGTTTGTTTTGTCCTAATCATTGATTTGAACCTACATTCTTTGTTTAGTGTTAGTTTTTCATCAAGCTATTCAAAGAAATATGAATTTAAAATGAAACCACCTCTATTTTATCGCAGTTGGTGCCTCCAGAGCCGCAGTTGATGCTGGTTATGTACCAAACGACATGCAGGTTGGACAGACTGGAAAGATTGTGGCTCCTGTAAGTACCAAGACCGGAAACCAGTTGTCTTATTTCTCAGTCTGTCCTACAGTCCTTCATATGCACTAATTGCCTTTACAGAGGGAAATTCTCCTCAAAGTTCAACACTAGTTGATAAACCCACCAGGGTTTCAGACTGATAAACCATCTTGACTTTGAATACAGCAACATCTAATTGTTGTTTCTGTTTGAATCCAGAAAGATGGATCCGTGTTGCCCTTTAAAAAGGTTAATTTTCCATTATCCGCTCCGAGTGGGACGTCCCAGCTGTCATTATCCACACATTAGCAGAGCTTTGAGGCGTTGTGATGTAGTTAATGGCACATTCCGGCTTGTAAATGATTTAGCAGAGCCATTAGTGGAGCCGCGCAGCGCACGGGTCCGCCCTGAGCTCAAACCAGGCAAATCAGCCCCAAACCCAATTCTCCAAATGTTTTGACAAGCTTGTCAAGCGTAGCCCGACCATTGTGCATTAGTATTCACCCTGAACAAGTCCCGAATGAGTTCTACCATTGAAATGAACTCGAGTCGAGATGGATGAGGGTTGTTTTGGGTCGATTGAGTATGTCTTTTGTGGTTAATTGTAATCTTTTAGCCCTCAGGGTGATGGTTTGGTGACTAGACATACGTGGTTTGGAGGGTTTTGTTGTTGTTTTTTGTGTGGAAAATCTCAAGTTTAAGGATGTGCACCATGACGCTGCAACTACAGTGGTGTGAATAAGTTATTACCCCCATGCTAAAGTTGCCTAAAAAGAGGAATAAAAAATCATCTTTTGGAAATTGATCTTAATGCCTTAATTAGAAAAATGAGGAAAAATCCAACCTTTAAGGACACCAATTTTCTTTGTGTATGAATAATGTATCATAAATAAATAAATGTTCTTCCTTAAAATACAGGGTGCATAAGTCAGGCAGATTTTTGGAATTAAAATATCCCACATCATCACATTCCCTTCACCATACCTAGAGATTGGCATGGTGTTATTTCAGTTAGCCTAATAGCTGGTTTGATTTGCATTGAAAGATGATCTTATGGAAAGTACCCCATGCCAATCTCTAGGTATGGTGAAGGGAATGTGATGATGTGGGATATTTTAATTCCAAAGGCCAAGGGAACTTTATCAGGATGCATATTATCCTGGATCCATGAAATAACTGGCCTTTAAAAATAAAAATCTGCCTGACTCTATGGGAATTTAACATAGGGGGGGCCTGACTTATGCACCCTGTATTTTAAGGAAGAACATTTATTTATTTATGATACATTATTCATACACAAAGAAAATTGGTGTCCTTAAAGGTTGGATTTTTCCTCATTTTTCTAATTAAGGCATTAAGATCAATTTCCAAAAGATGATTTTTTATTCCTCTTTTTAGGCAACTTTAGCATGGGGGTAATAACTTATTCACACCACTGTATATAAATGACATGGAGCTGTTTTCACTCTAGTCTATGATTATATATAACTATTCAACCCTCTTATCCAAGAAAAAAATGATCGAAGAAATATTTTTCTTTAATTAATTGTAAATATAAGTGTTTCAAGAACTATAAACCAATATTTGGTCTCAAGGTAGCTAGTCCCTACTGTATAACAGCTTATTCTGGGCTACATTTTCAACCCTGTTAGTCATTTGGTGTTTTTTTTTCTTCCCCCAGTGTCACCCATTTTGCATATTTTATTCTGTTTATTGGTAGAAAAGAAAAAAGAATTTCCCAAATTTTGGTAACAGGGTTGCAAAAATGACAATGATCATAAAAAAAAAAAAAAAAAAAAAAAAAAAAAATTCTTTATATTATTTTGATTGATTTTATATATTATTCAACTTCATTCAGTTTCAAACCAGTATTTAATATTTAGTTTGCTATTGTAATTAGTTTCTATTCTTTTTCTAAACGCTAAGAACCATCTTTCACAGACCATTTGTTGATAAATAAATAAAACATCACGATAAATCTCCAAGATATTCAGGCCCTATTTTGTGGAAAGTGCCGACTTCCATAACGTCTCATATTTTTCTATTTCATGCGGATCGAAACCTTTAGCAAAAAATACATGTAGTGCAGGACTTGATTTGATTGAATCATTAAGCTGATATTTTTGGTTCAGCCTAGATCAAATATTTTAGAGGTGGAGAAATGACATTTTTGATTTTTTTTGTTGAAAATCTGTCATTAAAAGTTATTGGCTTTTAGATGCTTTGTACCAATTATCCAGTAACTCGAAGTTGTTAGTGAACTTTTATCCACCAGCCACTTCAAGCTCCCCACGGTCTGGATATTGAGATGTTTGCGGGTCTCCATCACTTCAGCCCTGCCCTCTCTCTCTCCTCCTCCTGGCTTTTAGAGCTCCGGCTGGCTGGCCGCGTGTTCACAAATTGAAGCGGTGGCCCCCGGGAGAGCGCCACAGCCACATTAAACTGCACTGAAATATTCATGGAGCAGTGCATTAAGCTGAGAGCCACTGATGTAGCACTCCCTCGGGAGAAGGGTGGAGGCGAGGGGGAGTCCTGCCACATCCCCCAAGCACTCCTCTTTTGAGTAATTGTGAGGATGTTGTGGCCTGTGCTCTGGGACGGGAGGTCAGCAGAGCGCTTCCGAGCCAATGCTGAGAGTTTTAAACGTCCTTTGTTAGTGGAACACCTGACAATGCTAAATTGCAAGAATCTAGTTCGTGATTTTTAAGAACTAGCCTCGTTTACACCCAGTGTTGCTAAGTGAAACATGCCACACCATATTGTTGCTTTGGGTGTCAATCAATCAGTCAGTTGTGTGCAATGTGCATAACATGACTCTGAGCGCATATTAAATGAGCTTCCCCTTCACAAGTGATTCAGAAATGCCTAGTTTTGCATATAAATCGAGAGTAATATGATTTGTGGTACATCTCTTAAAGGGATACTCCACCCAAAAATGAACATTCTGTCATCAGGTTGCTGCAAACCTATGTGAGTTTCTTTCTTCTGCTGAACACAAATGAAGATATTTTGAAGAAGGATTGGAACCAAACAGTTGTTTGGCAGCATTGACTTCCATAGTAGGAAAAAAAAAAAAACTATGGAAGTCAATGGTGCCAAAGTTCCAATCGTTCTTCAAAATATCTTCATTTGTGTTCAGCAGAAGAAAGAAACTCACACAGGTTTGCAACAACTTGAGGGTGAGTAAATGATGACAGAATGTTCATTTTTGGGTGGAGTATCCCTTTAATGTTAAATGTTTAGAAAGCAATATTATTTTAATTAGTCAACTGCATTTTATATACACAGTACTGTGCAAAAGTCTTAGGCATGTTAGTATTTGCACCAAAAAAAAGGTTTAAATCCTGTTATCTTTTGCTGTAGTGTGTCTGTAGGAAATATCAGTTTACATTTCCAAACATTATTTTTTTGCCATTTAATTGTAAAAATCCAGTGAGATTTATGTAAGTGAATACTGAATAGGCAGTGAAATGCAAATAAATGAATGTGTTCGGGGTTCAGCGTCATAAACGTGACGTTATTTCAGAAGAAATGTTGATTTGTATCATACATAAAAGTATAACTTTAATTCTTTTCTTGGTTACTCTACAGGAGCTGTACATTGCAGTTGGCATCTCTGGCGCTATCCAACATCTTGCTGGAATGAAAGATAGCAAGGTACAGTTAGTAATGCATGTCAAAATATACACACTAAGAATATCCTTTTCTGTGGTAATATCCTCAATTAGAGAAAGCCCACCCATGAGAAGAGGTCTTCAAGAGTTTCCCGATCGTGCCGAGTTAACTCTCTCTCAAGTGTGACGATGTATTGGGATGGAGTGTTTTAAAAGCGATCTGGAGTAGCTTTTTACCTGCATCCATAATTCATCTGCATTTTCTATTCTGCATCTTAGTTTCTCATAGCACTGCTTAACAATCTGCCAGAGCGTCCATCACTAGCATCTTCCTCCATATGTTCATACAGGAGCATCCTCACGTTGACTGGATATTTACAATAATATTGTGTTGGCATTTTTTTGGGGGGGTGGGTGGGGGGGTAGAAAGTTACCACTGCACTTTTCTGGGAATAGACATTTGTGAATTATTTTTCATGTTAGCTTATGGAGACTGTAGTTAATCAGTGCTCAACACACCATGCTGTGTTTTTTTGCGATCTAGCCCACCACGCTAAATAATTTACTTATTTGTTTTACAGACCATTGTTGCCATCAACAAGGACCCAGAAGCCCCTATTTTTCAGGTGGCTGACTATGGCCTAGTGGCAGATCTGTTCAAGGTAAGATTCCTAGTTGGACTCGTGGCCTAGCGGTTAGCGAGTTGGGGTGTTCATGTGGTACAAGTTTGAACCCAATTGTATTTTTACTGAATTTGATGTATTTATAGACTTATGCAGTATTTTTTTTTTTTATTGTAACAGCCTTTAATCCTTTAGATTTAAGAATTTTTCATTTATTAGTTATTTTTTATTGATGTTTGAGTTTTTGATTTTATAGGTAACAACCTAATTATTAAGATTAAGAATACATTTAAACTAATTGATTAATTGCAACTATTTGACATATCATAAAGGTAAAACAGCATGAAAATGAACAAAAAAAGTGTTAATTTTGACACTGTTACGCCGTTTCTACATCAACTCATTTCATCAATAAAAGCAACAAAAATGCTTAAAATAAAAATGCGCCCAACTCCTCAGGACAGAGAAGAGAAGCCTTTTGCCATTTGACACTCCAACTAAGGATAAAGTATACGTAACCAGAAAGATACAATCTTCTTTCTCTAAAACACGAATCTCATTAGCACAAAAGATCCTAATCAGGTCATCAGAGACATTTTAATCCAGTGCCTCGGACAATCAGCAGGACCGTTTGTGTTTAATATTAATAGCGCTGTAAATTTCGAATGACCTGGTATTAATTTCTTCAGCCAACCAACCCAGTCTACAACCAAAACCAGAGACTCAAAAGAGAAATATGGGACAGCTTTTTTTTAAGTTTTGCAGGGCGTATTATTCCACCTAATGGAAAGTGTGCAACTTCTGAATTATTGAGTCGCTGAATTAATCAGTGGTGACTCCAACTAGAAGCCTTATACACAACTTCTCCTTCCAGAGCAGAAAAGTAATTGATAGTAAGCACAAGTGTGTGGGTGTAGTTTTTCACCTTTATTTCCAGTCTCCTCTCTCCAGAGCTTTACACAGCCGGCTGCGCGCCATAGTTCAAGGTGGCACACACACTCCCGGTGCCAGAGGGCTGCCACACACACCACATCCATCTGTTGTTGGTGTTTACTCCGTGTAACGCTATCATCATTTATTTCCCTGTGTTTGCCCTGTCGTTCATCTTTTATTCAGCCGGTGCGTGCTCGACACAGGTGTGCAGGTAAACTGTGTAAAAGTGATTGCCGACGATGGGCAGCGCTGGCGACTCGGATCAGTTTACATACGGTCACTCCTCGGATAACTGATTAAAATGTATGGGCTTTCTCCTCCTTCCTTAGATTGAAAAGTGAGCCGGGGACATATTGGGGTGATGATATAGTTTTTCAGGATGCTCTGGAATACAGGAGCATCTCGGTTTTGGACGAGAACCTCGACATATAGGAACAGTTCAGGTTGCTCTCAAATGACAACCACCTTGCCTAGGGTGCTTATTAAACACTAGAGAAAACTTTAAAGAGTTGGGTTAGTTTGAAATTAAATCGTACACTGCCCGGCCAAAAAGTTGTTGTTTGGATTTAAAGAGGCAAATGGTTAAGAGTCTATGATTGGATCTTTATTGCAGTGATTATTATGTTTCTTGCATGTTATATGTTTGGCAACAGTTCTTCTAACCCTATTGATGGAGTGTGTAGCTTTTCATTTCTTAAACAACCATGTAGGAAGACATTTAATTGTGGGATTCATTGAAAGTCTGTGGGATGTGCTGGACTAGACTTAAGATCTTAACCAAAACTTGATGCACCTCCTTGATGGAAATAAATGTGATGTTATTTCCATCAAGAGGTGCATACATTTTTGGTCAAGATCTTGTATTGACCATGCAAAAGTCCAGCACTCTAAAGTCTCCTCCAGCACATCCCAAAGACTTTCACTGAATCCTACAATTCTGTGTCTTCCTACATGGTTGCTTTAGAAATGAAAAGCTACACACTCCATCTATTAGGAATAGAAGAACTGCTGCCAAACATATAACATGCTAGAAACATAATAATAACTGCAATAATGATCCAATCATAGTCTATTTAAAGCAGCACTAAGTAGGAATTCCGTTTTTGTCAAACAGCGACCCCTAGAGTCGCTGTGGAGCACTTGTACTGTCGTGAATAGCACTCACGCAGAGATGGCTCGCACTCACGGCCGGATCCCCTCCCCCTGTACACCGGTACCTGTTCAGTAGGATGGACGCTGTAACGAGTGGAAATAAGGTATGGTCCCTTTAAGAGCTGCGCGCGCCCAACACCACATGTATACGGCGCCGGGTTATTTCTGTTTGATGCTCATTTTATCAGAATTTTATCAGATCTGTTTTTTGCCGTAAAGCAATTCGTTACCTCGCGCCCGCCGGCCCAAAGTTGCAAGGGTGGTTTTGCGGCTCACAGGCACCAGGGGGGTGCGAGACGACCACCATTCAACACGAAATCAGTAATATAAACATTACAATGACTCCAAAGCTGTTCGGTTAAGGTAAAAAAGTTACTTAGTTCACCTTTAAATCCAAACAGCGACCTTTTTTTTGGGGCCGAGCAGTGTACGATTAGATTTCAAACTATATCAATACATCAGTCATGGTTGATTTACTCTGTATTCTTCTCTAGGTTGTACCCGAGTTGACTGAAGCCCTGAAAAAGTGAGACAACTCAGAAAGATGGTACTCACCTGGAGAACTTTACTGGGAACCTGCCTTAAGAAGCTCTGAGCTGACGCTCTGTCCATCTCTCGAGTGGGATTTTACTCCAGAACACCTATGTACTTCAGCTAATGTAGACAGCAAACCACTTCTTTTAATAAAAGAATTCAGTGACGCATGGGCTCGAAAGTTTTCTGTTTTACAACTTGTTTTAACATAATTGTTGCTGTAGACTCATACAGGGTTGTCACATTCTGCTCCCGAGTTTACCTTTAACCCTAATCAAACACCTAAACCAGCTAATCCTGGACACCCCTGCTGCATACTGACCTCAATTATCCAGCAGTTGTGATTGGCTGTCTTGTGATGGTCTTGTAATCTATTGGTGAAAGTGATTTGCTGTATTTTAACATTGTATTTGAACAAGGTAGCTATGTGGCCTTGGATGTACAATAAAACTATCCAATAAATATACTTCTGCTTTTACCTATTTACAAATGACTAGTATATTGAATATTTTGGCTTTCTGTTCTGCAAAACAGAACACCTTTCTCCTACAACAAACTATACAAACAAAATGAAGCTGGATGTTTGAATTGACCAACTTTTAATTGCTTGACAATCTCTCCCATTATCAGTTTATAAAATCCCTTGTCGATAACACAGGATTAATTTGCCTCAGTCAGAAAGCAGATAGATCTTTTCAAAGGCTCATGCTATTGGGATGGGGGTAAAGGTTTGGGGTTATGACAACATTCTAACCATAATTTCTCATAAAAATCTTCTAATACTGTATACCTGAAATGTTCGCTTATCGTTTTCTCTCGGTTTTAAAAATACTTGTTTAGCACTTTTTTTTCCTCGCATAGAATTTGAATACAAACATCAGCATCAGTAATGTAAGAAAGGCAAAGGTAAGAAATTTGGCTGAATCACACAGCTTGACACATTTGAACATGGATCAAATGTAACCCTGCAGCATTGGGGGGGAAAAGGACTGTACATTGTGTGTCAGTTACATTTCGTACAAATAAACAAATCGACAAATAAAAACTCCCTCCCACGCCACCCTGAATGAGAACACATAAGTCTTCCAGCCACACTCCGACATTGGTCTACCGTCTAAAAGAGTGTGTCTTTGCTGGTTTTCTACACCACTCGCCCAACAGACACACTGAAATTCCTGAAGAATCTTCCAATGATGGCTCCCGAAGTACCTCTCCCTGACTCCTTGGAAGGTTGTGCAATTTCGGCAGGAGTGGCACACTTTGAGTGCTCTTGCAGAGTTGGAGAGGGAGAGAGAGAGAGAGAGAAATGTGCATCTGTAAGGAGAAACATTGCATGAGGTGGGTAGCAGAGGGCATTAAACTCATGTCACTTCCTGTGCCCCTTTCTGAGAACATGAAACCTGGGAGTATAGTGCTGTTCAACACAGAGAGAAAGACAAATTGGCTGTGTCCGAAACAAAAAACAACTCCTACCCAGTCACTCAATGTTTGTACGAAGATACGCCCTAATTCCCCAGGGTTCCTCAAATCCAGCCCTGGAAGACCAAGAGTTTCGCTCAAACCCTGATCAAACTGACCTATTAGGGTTTTTTTCTAGTAACTTTGAAGACCTTGATTAGCTTGCGTCTTTAGCCACTTTTCTTCTTGCTTAACCATTCCAATCCGTGCCGGTATGGATATGGTTTCATTTTTCCATTCGGGGGCTCTATGGAATGTAATACAAATGCATCAGTCATTACCTTGGTAACACAAAAGTTTACATATGGTATGAGATGTAAATAGCGACCCCGTTATGGAGGATGATCAGATATTTCTATTATTAACTTGTTTACTTTAGCGTGCTTGGCCAGGTACAGAGAAACTGGTAGACAGGCAACAGACAAAGTGACCAATCCTGAGTGGCGACGTCACTACACACATTCTACCAGCACGGTTGGCTAACCATGCTGAGAATCCCGGGACAAGAACAGTTGGTAATTGTGCCGTGCCAAACCAAGCTCAAGTGGAAATATAATTGTAACTGTTCCTTACCATTCAGCTTGACGGAAAAGTGGCATTTGATTAGAGTTGACACGGGGCCAGATTTGAGGAACCTTGGACACTGGACAATTCGCCTTTGGCTAAGCCACACCCTAGAATGTAGATTGACAGCGCAGCCAAGAACGAGCTCCCACAGAGGTCCGACACTTTTTCACAGCGCTCTGTTGACTTTAACACAGGAGTCACATATTTTTGGTCTCGGCAGGCTATTACCGTCGTAGTTTTATCAAAAATATGGTTAAACGTTGTGCCTGGGGCATTTGTAACACAGATACGCGTTGGAGGGGGGTGTCCGTTTTTTTCCCTTCCCAAAACCGAAGTCAAACCCTGACAAGTGTCGTCTAGCACACGCTGCTAATAAATACAACGTTATACTCGCGTAGTCCGTTTGCTTTGTAATAACGATTATAGAAGTGAACAGAGACCTACCCAGCTTTGCATGAACAGTGTTGCTCCTTGATATTGTTAGTCCCAGCCTCCGTCTCGATTAGTAGGATATGCGGTGGTTCATTTTTTGACTGCGACCGGTATGCTTTTGTCTCTATTTGGATGCCTTGTTGTTCCTTGCGTTTCACCTGTATGTCGTGAATATAGCCTTCGAACGTATATTGCAGCCGCTTTTGCCTACTTCTATCGGACACTTTATTTGCTGCTTTATAAAAGTTTGATAAAATTTCAGCAGGAAGAGCTGTCACAGCATAAGCCATGTTGATACCAGAGCCCAGATGAAGTTTGTCGGACGTAGCAACAGTAACTAAGGGGGGCGGGGCTTAGCCAAAGGTGAATTGGACAACTCAGACTTAGATTGTATTTGAACAATTACATTTCCCAAACTGCCATGAAACTAATCAATTTGCCCCCCCCCGATCTCCATTCTGGAGTAGTCAAAGCAAGTTGCAGAAAGTCCGTTTGTGTGTGATCAGTTTGATCCTCAGTATATGAGATGTGGAGTTTATTTTCCTGAAAATATTTACAAAGCCAAGTGAATGATACTTAGGGACAGATTAGTGTGAGAGCGCAATCCCATAAAAGCACCGATGGGAGTGGAAAGTTCTGCGCGTGATCGACTGACGACGCGCAAATTAAAGATCACACAGATGCAGCTGGATAATTTCCATAATGACCAACACAATCTACCAAGAGCAGCGCAAATTAGCGTCTGGTTTAAGATGGTAAATAATGGCGCAAATACCAGTAAATTGACGAGTGCAAACCTTAGTAAATCACCTTGTATGATTCATTTAAATACTCTCCTCCCATAAATTTAGCATGTGAAAGGAAAACTCCAACAAATGCATATGCAATAAGGTCAGCCACAAAAATAACTGTTCACGCCTTTTCAGCGCTAATTTTTCACTGCGTGTTTTTAGTAAATCCGGACAGTAGTTTTTTTAATGCCAAAAGAGGGTTTGCGCTGACGCAAGCTTCTAGTAAATCTGGCCCTTAGCGTTTTAAAATCTGTTCAGATCTTAAGTCGTGCAGTGCATTCCACCACACGACGGGACATGAATCTGGGGAAAAGAAGCAGGGGTGTCCTATCTTGCTCCTGGAGAATTACCTTCATGCAGGGTTTAGCTCCAACCCTCATCGAACACTAAAGAACCAACCAAACAAATCTTTTTTTGGGATTATTTGAAACCTACAGGAAGGTGTGTTGGAGCAGATTTGTAATCAAACTTTGTAGGAAGCAGTAGTGTTGGTCCTGGGTCATTTACATTGATTCAGCAACTACTAGTCTAGTCTAGTCACACTCTTTCAGTAGACCGGAAGTTCCACAAACATTGGAATCGGATATGCCTTGATGCCTTCCTACCTCAGATACTGCCAGTGAAGGCACCATTTTCAGTTTTCGGACACAGCCAATGAGTAAGTGATATAGAGAGAGAGAGGCCAAGAGAGAGGCTGCTTCAGCTGGTGTTGGTGGTTACTGTCCCACACTTCATGCTCTATGTGTCTGGTATATGGCTCAGTGGAGTATCTGCCGGCTCCATAAGCCTGTACTTCTCCTCCAGAGATGGCTCGGTCCCCTGCAGGTGAATTAGTGGCTTGGTCTGGAATACACCCAGACTTTCCTGGTTTCTCCTGTTGTATATGTTCACCCTGTGCTCCAGTTCCGGACTGGCCTTCACTGACCCTGCCGGACTGGGCAATTTAAGGTTGACCGGGTCCACCCTGCCTTTCTGCGCTAGGCAGGAGTCCTCGGACAAGGAAGAGAGCAGCTCTTTGACCACCGCTCTGGGGTCGTGGACGCCCGGTTGCGTCCCGAGGGTCAAAGGGCTGCAGTATGGAGGAGGGCAGCAGCGCTGGCCACTGTAGTCGGAGGTGGAGGCCTCCCGTACGGTAGAGCTGCAGTCAGTTGTGGAGCCCAGCGTGTGGCTGCTGATGCTGTGCTGCCGGGCCGTGAAGCTGCAGCTCGACCGGGACATGGTCGTGCTGGATGCTTCACTTACAGAGCTGACCGTGCGCTCTTGGCCACTTCCTGGACCGTCTGCACTGACAAGGGAAGGCGGCAACTGGTTGGGGTTGGTGGGAAGGTGGACATCGATGGCTGCTGTGGTTATGACACGAGCACCAGGGTCGGGCACTCCGATGTCTGTATGTACAACAGATTGCACAACTTAGAGAATGAGTGCCATCCTAAATATTTAAGCATCATTGACAGTGGTCAACTGATATATCAGCCAGACCGTTTGGCATTTCAATATTAATTGAGCCGGTTAATTGAATTTCAAGTCAAATTTGTACAAATGTTTAGTTTCAGTTATCTCACGTTTAACTTTTTAAATTATATTCTTGCATACTTATGTTTATATAATTATATATACTGTATATTTCAACATTTTACGGCTCATGAGCAACATTGCCATTCAAATGTTGTCACTGGCCATTGAAAAAAATCAGTTGAGCACTACTTTGGATGCATGCATCCAATTCATGCAGGAAAAGGTGAATGCACGTCCTGATTTTGCCGAGTTAGACACGTTCCTGGGTCAACATATTTTGTTGATCCTGGGACAACATTCCTGTCCAAAAATGTAATCCTAACCAGGGGCTTTCGCACCAGGTAGTTATAGGAACTTAGTTCTAGGAACTAGCCACCAGGGCGGTTCCTCGAGGACTAAATGTTCCCCTAGAGCCATTTTCCTGGTTGCATTCTCACCACCAGTAGCAACTCTGAAGTGACAAACCACGCTTGATGTTGTGACTTTTATTTTGACAGTGTGGCGGACATTTATTTTGAAGGCACTAAGAAAGCCAGAGCCTGAGCACACAGCGCTCGCTTTCTCCGTCTTCATTAGTTTACGATCTGTTTAACAGTCCTGTCTAATACATGTACGTTATTAGATAGAACTGTTATACATAGAAAGTAGACAATATATCAAAAAGGATTATAGCTTTTGCCATGTGGTTGATGCCTAATGTTGCTAACTGAGCAGAAATACATGTTTCGCTTGGTCTCTTCAAAGTTGCATTGGATTTTCTCCATTGCGTAAAGGTTGAGAGGTCCATCTATCACTGTTTTAGTTAGTTAGTTTTGTGGAGTAAATATATATAGGCTATAAAAGCTTTTTTTTTTAAATGGCGGGTGCTGGCGTTTTGCATGCGTTTGGCCAATCAGTGTATATTAACGTCACTGGTAGTTCCTATTGTGCTGGTTTAGACCCTACTCTTGGGGGAACTAAATGAGCTCCTACTTCAAAGGAGTTCCTAGAATTAAAATCATTCCCAGTTCTTGCGCTGTGAACACAAAGAACGGGTACCTCCGCCATTAGTTCTGGGAACTATGAAAAGGTTCCTCTGGTGCAAAAGCCCCTCATATCCCTACCTCAAACTTATCCCTAAAATCAGAGGGAAATGATAGGTGAATAACACTGAAATAGAAGCAACTAACCCTGGTTGTAAGCCTAAACTTGACATGAACTAAAAATTTGACTGGTTGATTGAAATGTTGATCCAGGAACATGTTGCACTTGGTGAAATCGGTATGCCAGTAAATGCATATGCAATTGACATGCAAAAATTATATGCATAGATCAAACCAAAAAAAAAAAAAAATTATATAATAGAACATTGTATAATCAAAAAGAATCAATGTAAACATATATAATCAAAATATAATAAAACATAAATAAATAACTTTAGAGTCTTACCGCTACTTGGCTCACTGTAATACTGACTGATGTAGTTATTCATATCATCATGAACACTTTCTGAAACAGAACAAATGCAAGTCCATCACAACATAACCAACAAACCTAATAAGCTCTTTCCCCTAAAGTTTAAAACAAAATAGAATCCAAAGAAATTTGAAAGTTTTTCTGATCATTTTTCTCAATTCACAGCTTTATAATGGGGCTTAAACTAGCATGCTACAGTGTAAGCAATGCATTAACGTTCTGATTCTGGCCATCCTTGTCTACTGCTTGGCCTCATGACCCATAAAGAGTCTGTCTGATGTGGTTGTGGCTGTAGAAGCAGCGGAGGTCATCGGCTGGGCAGAAGCTCTTATGATCCGCCTGGCAGAGCGAGGAGTCGACTGCACTCTAAGTGCCATCCGCACATCTCTGGAGACGAGACACAACTCACAGCGCCTTTTTAAATTCATTTTTCCTGTTTAAAATATTCATCAAACGGAGGCTCGGGAGGAGATGGGGAGCCGACTAAAACACCAGGAAGACGATCCCAGCTGAATAAATAACACATGAGGACGAAGACGACCACACACACTTTTTTTTTTACTTCTTCCAGGGAGAAAGGAAAAGAAAGAGTTAATATGAAACCATATTCTTCAAAAAAGAAAAAAAATATTCTAAAAATGTACAACTGTAATCAATGCTTTTGCCAAAATACCATTTTGATTTACACCAGACTAGAATATGTATGTGAGGTCTGTCTTAATGTCCTGCACAGCAAAAAAAATCTGAATTTTTGCCTTGTTTTCCAGTAAAAATATCCAGACATCCTTAAAACAAGATGCATGCAAGTAGGACGAAAAATGTGAAGACTTTATATTTTCAGTCAAGTTTATTTTTCTAACC